CCCCCCCCCCCCTCTCTCTCTCTCTCTCTCTCTCTCTCTCTCTCTCTCTCTCTCTCTCTCTATCTCTACGTCTACCTCCGTTACTTTTAATTCCGCGACAAGCGTTACGAGCGTGCGCGCGTGGTTCCCGGTTCCCCGTCGTTGGTTACCACCCAACTCCACGCGATACCAACTTGCTCCTAATCCCCATCCCCTACCCTACCCCCAGCTGTCCAATACACCGCTTTATGTCCTTCTCCCACGCAGACGATTGCCCCGTCTGCTCGCTCGAACCCCTCCCTCCCGTGCTCTCAAACTCTCTCGTAGGCTGCTGGCAAACCCGGGCCAAAACACACACTTGGTTGGCCTCTTCGTGCTTGTGTTGAAATTCCGCTAAGAGCTTGAAATTTCCATTTGGATAATTCACGCGCCAGTCATTTCGATCGATTAATGAATAATAAACGGTGACTATTAATGCACGTTGCGACTAAGAATAATGATTGCGAGAGTGAGAGTGAGGTAGCGAGAGAGAGAGAGAGAGAGAGAGAGCGTGTGAGAGGGGATCCCCGAAGATTCCCTATTATCGGAAAATATCAAATCGAGTAGAATTCCATCGGACCCCCTCATCTTTGACACCAATTGTAATAATTGGCTCGCGCAGAGTTACCGTTTTCGACTCTCAGGTGGCGCCAAGTTATGCCGCGCCTCTCTTCGTTTACCTTCCTCCACTCGTCGCTTCTCCTATTCTCTCTCACTCTCTCTCTCTCTCTCTCTCTCTCTCTAATCTTCTTTTTTTATCCGTAAGCATTGCTCGCTCTCTCGTCGCATGGCGAACGACGATACCACAATGAAAATATTTATACCTAAGCGTGGCTCCGTTAACATATAAATTGGCATAGACGACAGAAGGCCTGCGGTTGAAAAAAAAAAAGTATAACGTTCAAATGTGCGCCTGTGCATACCGATGTACGTTTAAATATTTATTTTCATTCGTTATCATTACGATACGATTGTAAGCTTCCGAGTCGATACAAATATGCGCGCCTTCCTCATGATTCATCATCGCCTCGTATGATTTATATTTACGTGCTCGTCGATATTGCTGAACATTTTATTCCCCTTATATATTATAAAAATTGTATATTCAAGCACGATTCATCGTTTGTTACGCGTTTTTTTTTTCTCTCGTTTTTCTTCCCTTTCTCTTTTTAACGTGAATTAAAAAACAAATGCAAAAAACACTTCATTAATAATTTCCATCCTAATTTTATAGCGGTAAGATTGTTAATTTACTTATTCCATTCTATAGAAAAGAATGATGATTTAATGAATTGGTTCGTTATGGGCGGGGCGAGGGGGGAGGGGGGGAGAGAAAAAAAAACTAGGAATTAGAATTATTATATGTTCTCGGCGTATTTCTTATAATACTTTCGTGATGAAAATAGAACCGATTTACATTCTTGATGAAAATATATAATTAACTTGCAATATCTTCATAACGGAATATGTCTTCGCTAGTTTAATACGATATATAATAATAAATCATTTGAAAAACGCTAATAATCAATTGAATTTCATCTCTATGATAGTGTAATAAGTTGTGAATAATCGTATGTTAAAAGGCTCGAAAATCGAAAAATTATTATTATCAAAGAAATTTTTTCTTCTCATAGAATGATATATCAAATTTTCTTACAAATAATTTACATAAGGAAGACAATTATTTGTAAATAAGCTTAAAAATCTATAATAATAGATTAATCGATCATACGCTTGTACCCATTTACAAGAAATACATTTAAAAAATATTTTTTACATTATTATACCAAACCTAAAATGCAATAAGATATTTACATTTATTAAAGATTACATCCTTTGTTATATAGACTTAAATAAACAAACACACGCACAAACACATATGACAAAAATTGATCACATATATAATTAAAATTTGCCAAAGCTAAATAATAATTACGGTAACTATTAAATTCTGCGAATTAGTAATTTCAATTAAAAGGAGAAATCAAATAGGATTAGGAAAGATTTTATAATTTTGTCGCCAAAAAAAAAAAAAAAATCATATATGGCAGATTAAAATTAAATTATTTGGGAAAATTGCTTCATTTAATTTTTACTTCATTTAATTTTCTTAAAATATGTTTAATTTGTATTTTGTATTCCATGCTTATCTTATATAGTTTTCGTTTTCTTTTGCTTTTGTTACTTCATATACATTTGATGATGTTTTTATATAGGATGAAAATTATTAGAATATAAAAATTAATACAGGCTTAGCCTCGATAATGGATTAAATGTATAAAAGAACAAATAAATTCATAGGTATTAAGATCAAAGACAATAATTATAATATTATTTAATTTAAAATTATATTTCTTCATTTATTATAATTGCCTTTAAAGGAATATGCAATGAAATGATAAAGATAATTATTATGTTTCCGATAGTCCCTTTGATATTGAAAAATTAAGAATATCGTGTAAATAATAATAATAATAATAATAATAACAATAATAATAATAATAATAATAATAATAATTAATGAATATATTTAAATATTATATTTATATTTTCTATTCATTGATAATAATAATAATAATTAATGAATATATTTAAATATTATATTTATATTTTCTATTTATATTTATCTTTATTTATATGTTGAATATGTGTAGAATAATTATTAAGATTTACATTATCTTTTAATTAGAATATTGGCTCATAACAATGAGCAATTTTAATATTATTCACATTAAAAATATTTACAATGAAAATATTTGTATTTCTAATAATAGTTTACTCATCTATAAATGTATAAAATAATATCTAAAAATATTTCAATAGTATATTTCGCTTTCCTACAATACTGTATATGTGAATATTTATAATTTCCATACTAAATTTTGTTTGGTAATGTAAGCGAGAAAAATATATAATTGAATATACATGGAATTTTGAAAGATTCATCAACAAAATTCAATAATAAGTTATTTTAAAATTCTAAATTTATTTAAAATCATAATATTTCGAGATTTTTCTAAGTGTATAAATGGCATTTTTACACACAATGAATTAAATAACATTAATTTATTTACATTGCATGTTAAAAGAAATATATTAAAATTTACTTTACTTTCGAAATATTAATAATAATACTTTGTTGAAAATGAACGTAAATATATGAGATGATAAAATATTAATAGAATTATTTGGGCATATTATTGAAATTATTAGATGATAAAGAAATATTTCGTTCAACTATTGGATTTACACGCGACTTAAGTTGTTTAACAAATTACCAGTTCGCTTGAAATAAGATTCTATCATCTTATCATAGTGATATTCAAAATATAACGCCATCGAATTTAATTTGAAATTTGGCAACTCGGTAGTATTTTTATAATAATACTAAAAAATATAAAATATTATTCATTAAAATTATATCATATTTTTTAATATTTTTCAAGGATATGCAATATCCAGTTTATGATGGTATATAATTTTTTATCTAACAATAAAGATTAAGTAAAGAAAAAGCAAATACGTGAACGTTTGAAATGTGAATTTCTTATTAACTTTGGAACGAAATTTTAATAACAATGATAAGTTGGCTTAATCCTAAAGCGATATTTTTAATTAGCAGATATGCACTACATGTAAAAATGTTTACATTAAATGAGCAATAAATGATAATTAATGATAATATTAAAATAAATAATGATAATTAAATTTTTTCTTATCAATTCGAAAAATTCTATTACACTAACTATACTAAAAACAAGAGAAAATATCACGGTACAAGTAAACATTAATTTACTTGTATAATTTTTTATATGCTTATTGTACTACATTATTTTTGTAATTATTTTCGGGGAGAAAGTTACGATATAATAATTTGTTACATTACATGAAGGGAAATGAAAGTAGAGCGTAAAATTATTCTGCATTTTGTCTTGTACGCTAGTGGTTAATAGATCGAGATTATATCAAATAATTTTCCAGTTTATTTATTATGTAGTTTTGTTAAGTTTTACGATTTTACGATTTAAATTTCGTATTGGCGAAAATTGTTTAATGTAACACGTAACTATTAAATATAATTTTGTTTAAACAATTATACTCTCAAATCAATATGGTAATACAATATTGAAAAATTGATCTTTTAATATTTTTCTTATCGTACAACAACATTATTTTCTATTTGATTTTACATTTATGGTTATTAATTCTATTTATAATTACACATATATTCTTTTATTTTGGGTTTTAGAGTATCGATATATTTTATGCAATTTACAAAAAAAAAAAAAAAAAAAAAAAAAAAAAAATTTTAAAACTATTTATTTCACATAAATTACAATAGATTACTTCATCGAGAGAGAGAGAGAGAGGAGGAGGAGGAGATTGATCGATTGATTGTCATTCCAAATTGCATTTTATGTTAGTTAAAGAGTATAATGATTCTACGTCTATACGTTTCTCGTGCAAATTGCTTTAATAATTTTGCTGATGGTTAAATTGTCGCTCTT